GACACCGCTGGCACTGAGTCACATCGCGATGGCCGCCACGGTATGGCTCCCAGCGAACGATGATGGAATTGATGGACCGGATGGCTTTCAGTGCGTTGAGCGTCACCGTTCCCTTCTGGAAGTGTACCAGGAAAAGGCTATCCGGATACGCCTTCACATTCTCGTCTCTTCTTGTCATTCGATAGACGGCACTTGGGGCCAGCTTGTACCGGTCCCTGATTTCTGATTCGATAAACTTCGGGTCGAAGTTTGGTAGGCCCCTGATGACGACCTTGAACGGCTTCTCACCGGGAATGTCGTGGGTAAAGAATTCCACCTTGGAAGTCCTCAGGTGGGCGACGACCACGTCAAACTCCGTTTTGGTACGGAGCATCACTTTAGTGCCGACTCTGCCCAACTTGTATTCGGCTTTAACACCCAGCGTCGCTAGATCCGCAATGAGCACATTAAGATGGGCATTTTTCACTACCAATGGAGGTAGCTTCACTTTTGCCGTGCTCATTTCGGCAGTATTCACGGTTTCGGCAGCGTCACCGAAATCTCCAACATCGCTGATGTTCGTCGCAGTTACATCGGACTGGCCTCGGTTCTTCTTCCTCTTCTTACTGCGTTTTTCCAACACAGCTGGCTGGATATTCCCATCCATGGGGAGAACAGCAAACCTGTTCGAGGTAGGCACACCGGAGCTTCCTTCTCCGGGGTTCTGGACCTTCGCCGGGCTTCGCGACCGATGCTTCCCCATTACGGGGCACACACACACGCACGACAAACCGCGAAAGAGAGAGCGCGAACACTATCGCAATGAACTTTTCAAACAACTCGAGAGAGCGAGCTAACACCGAACTGAACTGCTTGACGATCAAGCAGAGAAAATGAGCAAAAGCATGACACCAGCGCTCTTTTATATCTTTTCCGGTTCAGAACCTGATAGGATTTCCCGCAGTTTTTTATGAATGGGGCGGAGCAGAAAGTTTCTTTTGTGCAGAATATGTAAAATAGGATGGACTTTGGATGTTAATATAATTGCATATATAGAGGCACCAGATATGTTTTACCGTCAGTTGTGTGTAATTCACTAACTCAATGTCATCAAACATGTCTTCAAAGCAATTTTTTGTTCAAATTTGGTAAAACTTGGTTTTACTAATGATTGTGGTTTGTTTAAAATTTATTTCCCGGAAAAAAGAGATCGTCAAAGTCTGTCTCGTTTTCGGGTTATTGTTGAGGGGGGGTTAGGAGAGGTATTTGAGGGGGGGGGGGGGGGTTAGGAGTGGTATTTGAAGGGGGGGGTTAGGAGTGGTATTTGAGGGGGGGGGTTTAGGAGAGGTATTTGAGGGGGGGGGGGGGGGTTAGGAGGGGTTTGATGGTGGGGAGAGGGGTAGGAGAGGTTTGATGGTGGGGGGGGGGGTAGGAGAGGTTGTTGAGGGGGGGGGGGGCGAGAGATTGTTGTGAAGGGCGTGTGTTCTTTTCCTCATTGTGGTCACGCCGTGATCCACCTTAAGCCGCTGATTTGGTCCTGCTTGCTGCAGGACCAAGCGCCACGCCGTCCTAAGCGTTAATGAGCAGTGGCATGAGAGCAGCGCTGATTTATATCTTTTCAGGTTCAAGCAGAATGATGTGCAACCAAGTGGTATTCGTTTATGATGACTGGGTTTGGGAAAAAGGCTTATTTCATGAAATCAGTGATAAAATTATCATTTGTACATTTTCAAAAGTTTAATTACAGAAAAAATGGAAAATATTTATTTCAACAGGTTCGTAATGTAATATCCTATCGATTGGCGTATTTTGATTTTAATTTCATCTATAAATGACAAAGTTACAAGCGTTCAAAACCTAACACTCCTTCACCACACATATTTTTTGACTTGCACCCCAGTATAGTCGACAAAGACGTAGTTCTACGTCAAAAGGCTTGGGAAAGTGATAAGACGAAGCACCTGCTCATACTGCTAATATAGCACAGAAATGGCTTACGGAAAATATTTCGTAAATTTGGGAGGAAGAAATTTGGCCCCCAAGCAGTCCCGATATCAATCCGTTGGATTATTTTGTATAGGGCGTCGTCCAACGGGATACCAATAGAACCCCTCACACCACACTTAAGTCGCTGAAAGCTAAAATCAAGGCAGTGATGACATCTATGGATCGAAACATTTTAAAACGTGCATACTGCAGTTTCCGGAAGCGTCTAACTACAGTCGTCGAAAGGGAAGGCAATTTTTTTGAATAAATTTACTTACAACTTCCATATGTTGTGAAAGAAAATAAATCGCACAAAGTTCATTGCTAGAATAACTAACTGGTGTATTTTTTCTCAAATATGCCATTTACTGCAAAAATTCGTCACGCACCCTGTATAAGGCTGCTATACGACTGATATAAAGTTCGGAAACCCTATATTTACCTTATATCGCAAAAAGGGTGATTATCGGGTAGTTAGCGGGCTTGGTGGTTACTTGGGCATAGCGAAGAGTCGGAGGGAGCGCAAACGTTACAGATCGTTGTGTCTTGCAGTCTCAGCACAAGCAGTGGACTCCTCTCGATGTGAGTGACCTGGATGTGTTCCTTCGGGGCAATAGCTGTTCCCCTTCTCGTATGGTCCACATTGAAGAAAACGACGTGAAGGAGAGCTGCTCGTTCTCTACTTCTTGTAGACACACGATATCGAGGCTATGGCTGTATATGAAGCTTCGGAGCGCGTTCAGTTTCGTGGGGTTCGTGATGGTGCCGATGTTGATGGACGAGATGTTGTACGACGTGAGAGCCATTTATAAGCGATGTTACCCTCTCATCGTCGTCGTCATCCCGGCGGGGTTTTTTACCGGCTGGTTTTCCTAGGCTTCGTCTACTGCTCGTGGAAGCGGAGGATTCATCGGTTTCGTTCTCGTTGCCGCTTCTGCTCTGCGATCGCAGCGCATTTTCTGGCTTTTTGAACACGTCATCCAAAATCACGACAGCTTGTGGTGGTGTTAGGAACGCACTAGACGCATTGTGCGCTCGTTATATTTGCACAGACCCTGCTGCAGGCTGGCTGCGTGTGTGTGTTTTCGGGCCTGAGAATTCACTCTGGCTCTTCGGCAGTTCGGGGAAAACGTCTGACTCTAACGATGGCGGAGTAGTGGATTTTTGACCGACTAGTTTCGTGCTTGATGGTTTCGCACCAGTTTTTTTGCGTTGCTGTCCGGTTGTTGCCCTATTGGCCTGTCCAGTTTGCTTCGTGACATTCGCGTAGCTTTTCTGGTACTGTTGCTTTTTGTTCTTGACAGATTATATGCCAGTGTGCGCTTGCTCTTTGCAGTGGCGGCAGGATTGCAGCTGTCCCTTGTAAACAACGAACGCTTGCTCTCCATCGACGGTGACCTACGAGTCGATGTTCCGCTTCACTAGCATACGAGCAGACCATATGCCGAGCGGTATGCTTTCACCCCACAATACCTCGTGAACTGAAATCACTTCCCCGAATGCACTTAGGAAACTAAAGACATTCTCTTCAAATACATATTCGAGAAGGTCGTAAACCCGCACTTCAACACTACCATCTTCCAGCGTGATCCGAAGTTTGTATTTCTTCCCCTCACACTCCACTTCATGCTTCCCGTCGTGTTCGTCAACGACTTTTTGTGCCAGCGTCAAGTCACTGACTTTGACGAAGGCACATGCTCCACCTCTGTGGCACTGAAGTCTTTTAATGTCTTCCCTATTTAGACCGAAAACCGAACGACAAAAACCATAGAGTTTTTCGACCGACGGCTTGACGGAGAACTGCGAATAGTCAATCTTAAAAGTGTTTTCTCGCCTCATCGCGAAACACATCTGCACGCGACGCGGCGCTGCGGATAGAAGGGTATCCAAAACGTAAATCCTTCACTAGTGATAAGCGCAATCGAGAAAAACGTCTGCACGTCTCAGAAGCTCAGCGATAACTTTTCTTGTTGTTCAAATATAGATTATAAGGTTTTACTCACTTCAATTAGATTTAAGACAATTTTAGGATTTTTCAATTCAAACTATGATCAATTTAACTTTAACTAGGATAGCTAACAAACAAATGTACCAATTCTTCCAAATCGTTCCTTTTTTTCTCCTCTGTTCGGGACATAAAACTACTGCGACCAGTAATTTGATCTATTGTAGTATATCCCGTGTCCTTAGTTTAGTGCATGTCGTATTACTTCATCACTATTGAGAAATGATGAAGTATTCGGTTTTGATACAGTTGTCATTCTTGCCTTCATCGCAAGGAATCGACTCTAATTGAAAGGTCCCGCTATATATACCCTTCGAAGTGTTGGAACACCCTCCAAAGGCGCGCCCCTTTGTCAGTTAAAATTGGATTCCTTAGCAACAAAATTAAAGAATGACACCGATAGTGACCATGCATCAGAACCCTAGTCTCAAACACTTCACACTTGGGAACAATGAATAGAAGATTAGGAATCACATAGATTAAGACTAACTAACTCATTTTTTCTTTGTTTCAAGATCATCCTCGGTCCAGGCAACCCGAGGATTTTATCACTATCAACAATGCATAAAAAGTAACAAGGACTGAGATGTGTTCCTTTGATTACTGAAAAATCCTGTTCCCCTAGTTTGAAGTAGTCAAGACTAGGATTCGGTGGTAGATCTTACATCCCGTAACGTACCACGAAAAGGTGATCTACCCACGTAAATCGTTGCTTGCTTCTGTCCTATTCATTTATCTGACGTTGTCAACTTGATAGACGTCACGACCGAAGTTAAGTTGCCGGCGATCCCTCCTAGACGTCTGTTTTGTTACAGCTGCCCAGTGGTGTTTTACGCAACAGGACCACTTCCTGAAGTTAGCCCTAAACGAGACCAACACCATTCGATTATCCACAATAATTTGTCGTAAAACGAGCTATTTTTCAGGACTCCTACCATGCGCCGTCTTATTAAGTGGAATGTTGGGTTCCATTTTACCCCACTGTAAAGCTACTTTCTAACCACCTATCCCTTTCTCTTCTTTCCAATAGACGCTTGCCTTCGCTGCCAGGCCGAGAGCAAAAAGGATACCCTTGGACGCCAGGACTGTGTCGTAGTTTGGGGTGAATGCAATCATTCGTTTCATCACTGCTGTATGTCGCTGTGGATCAAGCAGAACAATCGCTGTCCACTCTGCCAACAGGAATGGTCCATCCAGAGAATGGGCAAGTAGACTGTTTGACTCAACAATGAAGGATGAACCTAGGAATCTTCGTAAAATTTGAAAATCTCATTAGCATTTGGTTATAGTTTTCATTATTCAGTAATTTTTTGTTTATTTGCTGTAATAACATTCTCTTCTTGAATAAATAAAATTGGTTTCTGAAAGTACACCCTAAACAGACTGTAGAATGCTATACCGAACGTATTTGTCCAACTGGAATTCTTCTTCTTTATATTCTTCATCTACTACGAAAACTTGCACAAAATCATCGAACTCGTATTTTCGTTTCATGAAAACGTCCGTCAGCTGTAGGTTGGTAACAGTAATCAACCCCAGACGAACGGGGCAAACCGTTAAATTGAATTCTTTATATTTTCCCGGTTCCAGAGGTCCCAAACTTATCTCGGTTTGTCCCGTGTAACCGCATCCAACTTTGGCTTTCGTGTTAAGATTCATCAGCAAATCCATCGAACGTTCACTCGTATTCGTTACTCGACACTTGAAATCAAATCCTTTGCCTATCTTGACGGTACTGTTGGCTTCAATTACCGTCAGACGAAGGTCCCCGTATTCAATAGGCTGTCACAGAAAAAAAAGATCGATAAATAAATGTAAAACATATTTAAACAAATCAAAACTTACACTCCTCTGTAGCTGGCTTGTTTGCAGTCGGCCGCGTTCTCCTAAATTGGATCTCCACACGATATCCAACTTACCGATGTTGTTAGCTGCTTTCAACGCCATGGGATCGTTCAAAATTACTGGCAATGGTTTGATGCAATATAAAAATTGACAACTATTTTGCGGTTGCAACATTGTTCTCTGGGAAAACACCGATTCCCCAGAAGGTAAATTATTCAACGAAACCACCGTATAGTTTTCGGAGCTTTCAAGCTCAACCTTTTCCAAACAGATAGGTCCAACAGTGATATTCTGTATTTGAGCTTCCAAGTAAACCTCATCAGTTTCAGCATTGTAGAACTTTGTCTTCACGTCCAAAGGTTTGACAACTTGGAATTTGAAAAACTTCCGGAACGATGCTTCCAGTCCAGCTGGCGTCATGTACGATACCTCACATACCAAACTGAAATCCAAGAAGTTATAAATCTACAAAACTCAATCAAAATAGCAATCCTCTCTTACATATGCGTTCCAATTTCCTTCACTTCATGATGGATAACGTCGTCAAGTGTTTCGTCCGGATGCAGCATCACCGGACCCTGTTTGTCAGCATGGATAGGCAAATTGATTCGTGTGTTGTTTGACTGCAAATCTGCCTTCACCGATACGTTGCTAACCGGGTGGGCGCGACAGTTGTGGACGCACACATAACTGGAGAACGTTTCACCCAGATAAATGTTACCGAAGCTTTGGGGTAGTAGCATGAACTGACCAGCGGCTAACGTTTCACTATCCTGCACCGTTGTGGCGGTCGTTTTGAGAATTTTATCGAAAGTGTTCTGGGGTAAATCTTTTGTCTCCGCGGTCACTATCTGGGAGCTGACCAGTGTCGGTCGAGTGAGCCGCATTACTGCAAGGAGAAAATTATGAGCAATCAATATAATATCAATATAATATAATTAAATTTTAATTTAATCCGTGATCTTGCCTTTCAGCGCCAGTAAATGTTCTGATGAGTCTGCCATGTTTTTGATCAATTATGTGTGTTTAAAAAATACTGCTATTATGTGAAACAATTAGAAAATAATGATATTTTCTTCGATTGAAAAACTTGCTAGCTTAACACTTCCACTAAAATATTCAGGGGGAAACATGTCAAAAGGGTCTAACTCGCAACGTCAACAATGACTTGGATCGTCGGTTTTTTTTACGAATGACAACACACCCACTCAAACTAACTGAATCATCTGACAGAGCAATGTTTGATCTATGAGCTGGTGTAGTCAGATTCCGTGGGTGTGTGGTCATTCAAGAGATATCGACGTTCAAAGTCATTGTTTAAGTTTCGAGTTATACCCTTTTGACATGTTTCCCCTGTATTGTTGTATTATTTGTTGATGTTAATGTACGTCACATAAAACACTGACATAAAAAGGCATCCGCAATCAGAGTCAGTGTCACTATTATACTGAAAAATAAAACTCCTCAAAATTTGAGCCTCGATTTTAGCCCTCTACACGCTATTTCAAAATTACCCAAATTTGGCTAGAATCCACTCAGATCGGTCAAAACTGAACCTACCCAAAAAACTTAACTGTGTTGTGAATGACAAGTAGACAAATGAACAACATTGAAGTGAATCCGATCGACGTTGTTCATTTGTCAACTTGTCATTCCCAACACTTTTCACCCATTTTTGGGTAGGTTAAATTTTGACCGATCTGGGTGGATTTTACCCAAATTCGGGTAGTTTTGAAATAGCGTGTAAAAATTAATTCTCAATTACTTTTTCAAACGGACTATCTGCTTTTGTAATCAAAGATTCCAATTGGCGTTGACGAGAGCTCTGTAACTCTTTACTCCTATCACGCAGAAAAAATTATCGGCGTAGTGGTTAGCATTCATACCTCTCACGCCAAAGTCACGAGTTTAAATCTCACCCGCGGACAAGTCACGAATGACCCAAGAGCGTTAAAGTGACAATTAAAAAAAAACGTAAACTCAGTTTGTTCTGGCCACAAAAATAAACAAGGTTTATTTCAAACGTATTCCATGTTTGAAGTCATGTGATATTAATGTTTAAAATAAAAATAATGTTACTTTTATTTTAAAAATATTTGTGTTGAAAATAATCGTGAATATGTTTATTTGGTTTGACAACTATGCGAACAAAAATATCTATGTTTATTTTAAACATGCTTCTTAGTTTTGAAAGAAACATACTTAATTTTAAATTATATTAGCATTTGAATGTAGGATAAAGGCCCAAGCGCAATGACAGCGGAAGCGGAAAAGCCCGATCTGAGTAAGCGTACTTGTCGGATTGAAAACTAGTTAGAAGCAAATCGACATCGGTTAGGCTTCTTGATGTCATTTGTGACAACTGTCAAACTTTCCGTTTCCGTTCCGCTTCCGTCCACATTGCGTTTGGGCCTTAAAGCAAAAAAATGGAAAGAGATGAAAAAACGATCTGCAGACAGGGCATCTAATACCCCGTTCACATTACAGCCTATATCACGTAATATAGGCTGTCTTGCAATGAGCACTCATACATTGGATTTCCAGTGAAAACTAAATGTATGAGTGCTCATTTCAAGACATTGTATATCACGTGATATACGCTGTAATGTGAACGGGGTATAAGCTCCTGTTTTTTCGGGTGTGATTAAGGGGGTTCTGTGGATGTTGGGGTCTTGGTCCGAGATGCGAGGACCCGTTAGGTGAGTGTCCGGAAGTTCCAGTTCAGTAAAACCAGTGAAACTTTGTGATATTAGCGTCGTTTTGTCGTTTCTAATGCTGGTCCTCATACCGGCCTCTTGCTACGTTCGGTGTTGGAGGAGGGGGAATAGATTCAATGGAGGATCCGGATTAGATTCAAAATCCATTTCGGATTTTCGTTTTTCTTCCGACGTCAGTTGTGGAGGAGGATGATACCGGGATCAGCATCAGAAACGACAGAGTGACGTCGATACTGTGGGGTTCCTTCGGTTTTATCGAGCTGGAACTTTGTTAATACCCCGTTCACATTACAGCGTATATCACGTGATATACGCTGTCTTGCAATGAGCACTCATACATCTAGTTTTCACTGGAAATCCTATGTATGAGTGCTCATTGCAAGACAGCCTATATTACGTGATATAGGCTGTAATGTGAACGGGGTATTATACACTTACCTACACAGCAAAAAAAGTTGTTGAATATTACATCGAAACTGATGCAACCAGGTTGTGTAATATCACATTGTACGATGTACATCGATTTTGCGAACAAAATTACATCCATTGATGTAATATTGTATCTGCTTTTTGCTATTACATCATTATTTCATACATCAGCTTGAATTACGTTGATCGATATTACATTTTTTTTTGCTGTGTATAGGTGGGTTTCCGGATCCATGACTTCGGTTTTGTTGCGGGCCGTTTTCAGTTGATTGGCAAAGCTGGGGCAATTTATTTTCCAAGAAGGAAAAAAAATGCAGGGCACGCTAAAAATCGTTTACCCAAATTCTATATTGTTGAAATAAACATGCTTTTGACTTTAATTCAAACATTAAATTTTTTGTTGCAAACACGTTTTTAATTTATTTTGAATTATTCATGAATGAATGAACATTTTTATTTTTGATTTAAATGAACAAAATTCGGTTTCGTGATGCAAGAAATCTCATATGTAACTGTCAGTCTATGTTTGAAACATGGCGGACTTTTTTTTATTCTCTCACTCCAACGCAAAACCCCATAAAGAACTGTCAAAATGTGTGTGAAGAAACGTCACTTCGGGACTGGTGTCAAGGCGAATGTCTATATCGATGGGAGTCCACCCAGGATGGCTACCCGTATTAACGCGAACCATAACTTGACCTTATCGAAAATGGTTAAACAAATTTTATTATCCCTGCTAAACTTAAACAAGAATTTGGAATCGTAGTGGTTCTTAACAACTCATTATTTGAAAGGTTCACTTCCAAAAAAAACCATAATACCTTAGGGTCAAACTTTATCACACAGACGTTCATGTAAAGTTTCATAACCATATCAGTATATATATACTATAGTATACTATAGTATATAGTATAGTATAGTATAGTATAGTATAGCATATACAATCTGCCAATCATAACTGTTGTTTTTGTTCTTAATAATGCATCATTTTTGCTTATGTGGATAAAATTTACTTGATCGTTGGAAGCAATAAATATGTTTAAAACAAATAATAAGTGCCCTAATAAAAATTTGTGGAAAAGTTCAATAATTTGGGATACTGTTGGTTTATGGTAATTTTTTATTAGGGTACTTACACCAAGGGTTACAGATCTGATTTGGACCATGAACTTTACGACTATTACGCACAGAGTTTAGATTATCGAAGTCGGTAAAATTTTACTGGGTTCTTAAACAGTTGAGTTTTCAGTAATCAATTCAGTAGTTGCTATAACTGAAAACTCAGTAAATCGCAAAATCCGTGAACTGATTGTTTATGCTTCAAAACTAAATGAATCTCCTAGAAGTCGATACCGGAGCCCTAATAAAAAATTACCATAAACGAACGATAACCCTAATTATTGAACTATTCCACTAATGGTTTGGATGATACCCCGAACACGTCGTTAAGCAAATTAACCATAACTTCTCAATTCTGTGACTGTTTCTGCACTCCTGTGTTGATTTCTTGGTTGATTTTCACAAACGATTACTGTTTTCACACAGAAATTTTGGAAATTAAGTGAACGAGGTGGAACGGAGGAGCATGACGCAAACACAATAATCTGATTTACTGGTGTGATCAGTAATTTTGAAATAAAGTTTGATGTCTGGTCCAGTAAAACATAATCAGTCCTGAAAACTCGGTGTTCTATTTTACTGAATGTTTGCAAAATCTGATAGGCCCTTTTCAATTAATGGTCAAGAATATGTTTCTAAAGGGCTGGAGCTGCTCAACGGTATACTCTTTTTACACAAAGATACCGATTTGAGAGAATCAACGGAATCAACAAAAGGAAGTGAAGCACTTTACTTTATCCGAGCAATTTTAGTTCGTCATCTGTCAAATCGTCATTACAAAGCATTTTGCGAGTGGAACAAAATTCATAAAAAGCCGTCTATTTCCCCGAAAAGTCTTGTTAACTATTGTTCGAAACCTGCTCGGAATATCTAACTAGCCAAAATGGTTCTGGAAAGTACAATGATGTGCTTCGACAACAGCGATTACCAGCGAAATGGTGATTATTTCCCGACGCGACTGAACGCACAAAAGGATGGCGTGAATTTGGTATGCTTGTCGAAGGTTCGCTCGAATCCGGAAAACAACGTCGGTCTGATGACGCTTTCCAATACGACCGAAGTGTTGGCTACGTTGACCAGTGATGTTGGTAGGATTCTATCGAAATTGCACTTGGTCAATCCAGCTGGGAATATTAATTTGCTGATCGGATTGAGGATCGCTCATCTGGTCTTGAAGCATCGTCAGGGTGAGTATGGGTGAAGCAATTATTGGTTTTGACGGGTCACATTGTAACGAAATGTTATGTTTCAACAGGAAAGAATCACAAGATGCGCATTGTTGTCTTCGTGGGATCTCCAGTTAATCACGATGAAGGCGATCTGGTCAAGTTGGCCAAGAAGCTGAAGAAGGAGAAAGTGAACGTGGATATCGTCAGCTTCGGTGATCACCAGAAGAATAATGATATATTTACATCATTTATTAACGTACTAAATGGAAAGGACGGTACCGGATCGCATTTGGTTTGCGTGCCTCGCGGATCGGCTCTGTCGGAAGCACTCATTTCGTCTCCCATCATCCAAGGCGAGGATGGAACGGGAGGAGCTGGTCTGGGAGGGGCTGGATTTGAATTCGGAGTTGATCCAAATGAAGATCCTGAATTGGCTCTTGCCTTGCGCGTATCAATGGAGGAGCAACGTCAGCGCCAGGAAGAAGAGCAACGACGTGCGCAAGGTAACACTGAAGCTGGAGCTCAGGAAGGAACGTCTTCCGGTGGTACTGCAGTGGTAAGCCAACCCAACTCGGAAGAAGCTTTGCTGGAACGTGCACTTGCTCTGTCTACGGACGATACAATGCCAGACTTTGCTAACATGACCGAGGAGGAGCAGATTGCGTTTGCCATGCAGATGTCGATGCAGGATGCCCAACAGGAAACTCCTATTTCCCAGCCAGCCAAGCGTCAGAAGAAAGATGAAACACCAATGGAGGTTGACGAAGACATCAATGAGGTTATCACCGATCCGGAATTTTTGCAGAGCGTATTGGAGAATTTACCGGGCGTTGATCCGCATTCGGAGGCCATTCGCGATGCCGTTGGTTCGTTGAATAAGGACAAGAAGCAGTCTGATAAGGAGGGAGAGAATAAGAAGTAGAATTGCTTTGATAATATTCTTAATCCCTATATTTTTTTGCTTAAGACATTGATTACAATTTCAACTGAATAAATGTATCGATAGAGTTGATGGTTTTCATTGGGATTTATTGAGAACTTCGACTTCAACCTAAGTTTAAGAATGTAGAACAAGATGAACTTAGGATAGTTTATTGGTAAAATGAAATACAATCTTATTCTAATGCATAACATTGATGATGCAAATGTTAGTTCAGTGGTATGTTCATCTTTGCGCTCTCGTGTCGGATGGCATTGATCAGATCATAGTTGATCAAGAAGATAAACCGCAAGTTTGAGATCTGAAAAAAAGGTTTATTATTGTCCAAAACCAACTATTTTTTTACGGAGCCTTTTGATTTTTATAAACATTTTGGAAAAATATCGAAATTCTGAAAAAAAAACTGTTTATCTTTGATTCCGGTGAAAATTTGCATGAAAAAATATGATTTCTATATCATTATGAAAAAGAGTCGTACAAAACCGAAAGGCCGAGTTTTGCGGTATTTGAGTTCAACTTTTTGCTATGACGACGTAGAAAAATTGTTTTCACACGTAGATTTTCTTTAGAATTTGAGGAATAAACTGATTTTTTTCGTGGATTATTTTTTGATTTTCGATAACCTTTCCCAATCATTTTAGAAAAAATAAAATGTAACTTTCTTTTTGGGCGGTAAGCTTTCTGTTAAGCATACAATATCTTACCTCAATAACGCAATTGTTGTTCAACCTGGTTTTGTTGCCGTACATCAGAGGTGTTCCATCAATGTAGAGAGGCCGTTTTCCTTCATTCGTAATGAAGAAATCCCCATTGCTTCTCAGTTTGATCGTGCCTTGCTTCCTGGACACTTTGAAAGCAGGACCCTCCAGCGAGAAATCCACATCCACAACTGCATCCTTCGTCGAGCGTCCAAAAATTATTTCCCGTGAACGCATTAAAAATCGCACCAACCGTCCCCGTAGAACCGCCAAGGTTTGGTTATCGAAATCCGGTGAAAATCCAATGCCAGTCAGAGAATCTACAAGAACATTCCAACGGGACAGTTCATTTTCCAAGCTTCGGATTTCTTTTTTGCTCTTGCGGTCCGAGAGTGCCAGTTCAATTTCCAAGGTGTCGTCTTTGTGATCCATCAGCTCCGAATCATTGATTAGATCTTCAGCATCCGAAAACGATAGAATGTTGTCACTCTTTGGCAGAGATTGGACTGATTGATCCGGTAGCAGTGAGTACTGCTTCATCAGTTGCCAGTGAGCGTAAAGCGACTTTGCAGTCCGTGCTTGGTAGAAAACGGTGGAATTCTTGTCTAGCAATTCTAGAAACGTTTCTGAGGTTGGATTGACATTGGACTTAATAGTTCCAAGCAGTTCTTCTTCGGCAACGGAGAACAAAGCCTTGCTTTGCACGCTTTCCACTACCTCTGGATGAAGATTTCGCATCGCTGTTACTGCAATTCTTGAAATCGGTTCTTCGTACAACAGAGAATACCAACGGGCCTGCATTTCCTGAATGGTAAATTTGCACGAGAATTTGGTACCCCTATGAACCATCCGCAGATCATTGGTCTGCAGGATTCCTGTTATCAGAGCAAGGTCGTCTATCGGTTTCCATCGACCTAAATCTTTCGTGGCCAGCGTCTGACCACTTCCCTTCTTCTTATTCTTTTTACTGTTTTTCAAACTTTTCTTCTTCTCGTTGACCGAGGCATTTGAGTTGAGCTGCTGAAACAAGCTGGTAGCCGGATTAGGGACAACAGGCGGCGGGAGCGGCATTGGTTGCGGTGTAATGACTGCCGTTAGTGCTGTCTGAGGAACTGGAACGGCGAGTGGCTGATCTACGATAGTTGGTGATACGGAAACAGGTGGAACTATTTGCGGCGTAGCGATTGGAACTCCTGGACTACCAAAAGGAAGCGACTGTGATAAAGTGCGTGAACGGCCAATGTTTTTTATCTGTGCCTGCGGCAAACCCAAGCTGTACTCGACTATTTCGTCGTCAAAACGCTTACGTTTGATCGATCGGGAGGAGCTAGGCGGGTAAAAAAAAATGAAAAATATAACATTCAATCTACCTATAGTTTTGTTTCCAAACACTGGAGACCACAATTTACCTCCTTCGCTTCTGATCACTGCCAAGGTCCAGACTGGAATTTCCAGAAAAATCCAGATTGTGTTCACTTTTGAAGCTTGCATTTAAATCCATGGTTGCTTCGATGGAACCTATGCAATTTATTGAAAAACGATATCGCAAAGCTTTTCTTGCAACTATGCGAATGACGCCATTCGTTGCAATACTTTTTTCTATTTTTTTCAGTTTGACAGACATTATATTTTGGTTGTGTGCGCCACGTGAGCTTACACGGTAAGAAAAAAGTTCACAACAGTAAGTTATTTTCACTCATTTAGGCACTATACACGCTAACTTGACAGTCTCTATTAATGGGTAAAAAATACCCATTTTGAAGAAAAGTGACCTGGCGTGACCCTAATAAACAAATACCATAAACGAACTATATCCATAAAAGAGAACTTAACGACGTGTTCGGGGTATCATCCAAACCATTTGGGGGATAGTTTACCCATCTGGGATATTGTTCGTTTATGGTATTTGTTTATTAGGGGCAACTAAAAAGCATATTGAATATTTTATAGAATGGTATAAGTAATATAAGATATTGTTAGCGACTTACCGAGCAAGCTTGTTTTGCGTGAGAAGCTCAAGAGATGTCGTTATTGATGTCTTATTTTTTGAGGTACAATGTTTTCAAGAAAAACTTATTCTAATTGTTACGTCTGCTTGTCTGTGACTCATACATCTATAGACCTTTTTGACGTTTAATAGTCTTTCTCTATCTAGCACACTTGGATGAATGAACGGTTTGTTTTCCCACTAATCTGTTTCTCTCTTGCTCGCACTCATTCGATTTAAATGGTACAGTGCGCCGATTAAACGTCAAAAAGCTCTATAGATGTATGAGTCACAGACAAGTAGTTTTCACTGGAAATCCTATGTATGAGTGCTCATTGCAAGACAGCCTATTCTTCGATACAATCAATGTAATTATTTACATTATTTGACAATTCTCAGGTAATCATGACAGCAGTTGGTCCCTTTTCTTCATTCATATTGTTTTCAATAATCAAACGTCATGATCCTCAGGTCATGATTACCTGGGTTTTGTCAAAAAAGGTAAATATTTACGTTGTTTGTACCAAAAATTTGCCGCGGATACACTTGTATGACCTACTATGAGCATGAGCATTATTTGTATAATTATTATGAGCACTATACAACAACTATACACAAACTACACAAGTGTGACCATTGATGTGCTTATAGTTTATTATACAAATAATGCTCATGCCCATAGTTTGTCATCCAAGTGTGTCCGCGGCATATATTACATGATATAAGCCATCGTCTGTACGGGGTATAAGCAACAATCAATACGAAACTAACGATTTTAAATTGGCTCACTACTTGACTAGCCTATTGGTCCCAAGTAAATCAATTAACGTACCCCATTCTAGTGAAAATTCTAGTACTACACAATGTTTGTTTTGATTCGCTATGAAAGTTTGACAGATAAAGTGAGGGGTTAGTGGATTTTCCTATGTTTCGAGAGGTGAATCGATTAGCTTGGGACCGAAGAGAGTACCAAACTGAGCCAAAAAGTTGAGCTCATTTCTTCGGGACCTTCTGGTCTTAGAGTTACCTCTATGGTATAAGCGTACCTCTATGGTATAAGCTCGGTAATTGGCGTTGACGGCGACTCTGTAGCTCTTTACTCCTATGAGAAAATCCATAAGCAAACGTCAGACTGTGCGTGAAACATGGCGGACTTTCTACTATCCTTTCACTCCATCGAAAATTCTCATAAGAAACTGTCTATATTTGCTGAAAGAGAAAATTTTTCGACGGTGCCGTCAACGCCAATAAGCTGAAGACTAGAGTACCTCTACAGGCATTCTGCTGGAGACTTTAACGAGAAGTGAAGCTACAAACTGCAGCTAGGGTTGGTTGGCCAGTACGTTGGTGTACTTTCCAACATAAGAACCGTAAAACCTAAGAGGAAGAGGAGACAATACAGGGACGAAAACGAACCACTTTTCTGTCAAACGCGAACCAGCTCGTGATTGGCCGATTTAAAGTGCGTAAGATAGAAATCGAGATAGATATAGATAGAGATAGAGATAGAGATAAAAGATTAAGAAGCCATTAAGGGTCAAATTGATCAGCGGGGTATTTGGTCACTGAGGTTACTCATTGTTTTTGTTCAGATTTAATATTTTTACGTCGAATGATGTTTGAATAGGATGCATTCTTACTCCTTGAAGCAACATACATATTGCACTTGTAGAAAATGATGAAAAATGTGGCCTGAATCCAGAAAGAGACGACTACTTTGTTACATGACCATGAATTTTAAAATTAAGTGCTTACTCTTGCCCCTAACTTTAAAACTAATTGCGTACATAATCAAATTTCGGATTGTTTTGAAGAAAGCTCACAAGCGAAATATTGGGTATAGGTAATTTATTTTCGACCAAAATGTGTACATTATTTGTCTTTTGCTGCTATGATATATGCTTGTCCCAATGTTCCATGTGTATCTCGTAGCTCGATGCCACAAATGTCCATCTATTTACTATTAAATCTATTTGTTGCCTATTGTGATGATCGGATATCACGTAAATTTTTACGCCAATTCACTTGAAAATCGAATAAATTCAGGTCAGACATCCCGATCAAACGTTCGCACGTGATAGAATGATCGCTAAGCTTTCGCTTACAGCTTTGTGATTCTATGTGAACTACATACTTCTGATTATCGTTTTTTTTTTGTTTTCTTCAATATACGTTTGCGACGAATGCAACCTACGAGACAGATATTGTTGTATGATCTTTTACTTAGTCTAGTTATTGTGCTACTGTATCAATGAATCGTATCCGAATTTTTGTTCCTATACCACATGCAGTATTTTCAGGCAGTTGTGTGCATAAAGAAAATGTTAGCCATTTTTTGTTTCAATGTAAATCAAATCAAGGGTGGAATGTGCAAAAATGAAGCATGCGTTGCAGAGATCTGAAAATTATTGTGATTGATAGGTAGATTTTCAATCGATCGGTGGTTGTTTATGCACGTCATTCCTGGTTACATAAGAGGAAAACACAGCAACCTATTGACAGCATTCATTTGCTTAAAACTCCACAGTCTTACAGTTCAATACATTCACTATCGTCATTCGTTTAGTATGGTTTATTCACTATAGGCATTTGATCTACAAGTTTACAAATTATATACTTTGCTTCTTCCGTTTATTTGTATATACTAATAATGACATATATAAATAACTACTTTGAAATTCTTGTTTCTTATTGCTATACGTTTTATTCGGATTTCTTTTTTATACTCTGGGATGCACCATTTGCAATAGCGTTGAAAATTTGGTTAATTTTATTATGCTACGAGAGTAGGTTCACATTCATATACATACCACGTGTAAATAGGGTTCTAATAGTGAGTGCTGGTTTGTGTGTGTGTGATCTATATGAAAACTTATTTTACTTTTGAGGAGTAGACGGAGATTAATGATATTTTCTTAAGCGTTTCTTAGATTTGTAGGATCGAATATTTTGAGGTTTAGGTGAGATATGGCTTTAAAAGGGTATTTGCGTGTATAACAGTGTTTCAAGAACGGTTTATTTAAAACAACACAATACGTTGCGTTGTTGTGAACAGACATGTAAAGAATCGTATCATTTTGCATCCACTATTCATTTGTTTTTACATTCAAACGCATGTGACATCATAAACAAACGGTTACTTTGGCGAGAATCCGTTCATTTTAAATTGCGAATATGAAATTCGTTGAATATAGAAACAAGTAAAAATGACAGCTGAGTTAACCGTAGCCTTTTCTGAGTGTAGAAGTGTGGCTGATTCCTCAGTGATTCATGTTTCCATACTGACTCGTTTTTGAGTGCATTCGTAAGTGAGTAGTATTTTGTAGACAGAATCCCTAGGTTTAAACATAACTGTTTGAATATGTAACTGGTATAAATATGGAGAAAAGGTTTTTTGTTACAGATAAACGTAAAAGTGTTCCACAAATCTCTAAAGGTTGCTATTTATCCAACTGATTATTTATATCACTGAGTCAAAAACGGGCTTAGTCACCGATTCTATTTTTTTTTCTTGATTTGTTTCTGTCGATCTTGTTTTCAGTACTGCGTACCAATGCTACCAACGCCAAGAAGGCAGCTTCCACACCTGGACCATCATCAACTTATGGACCGGGGACCAACGGCTTTCGTTAGTTTCCACCGGTTGCTTAGGCTGTGTTCCATTTGGAAATTTTTCACTTAGATTTGACACTTCGAAAATAAATTAAGATGTTCGAAAATCCCCCTGTTGTTGGTCGGCCGATTTCCGAGAAATCGTTTGTCAAAATTGATGCCTTGTCTGTCAGAAATAAGTCTGCTGGAATAGCAGGCTTATTTGAAAAAAATTAATCTGTCAAATTTAAGTGAAAATTCACCAATTGGAACACAGCCTTGGATAGCACGGTTAATCGACAACTTTCCATCTGTCATATTTTAACCAATAGTTTTTTAAAATCCACCAAATGGTTCAGAGCCTAAATATTTGTTGATCACTTCTTTCGTTTACAATCGGTTTTGCACTCGATAGAGAGTTATGTCCCATGATATCCCAAGCTAACAGTTCTGACCCAGGCCATCCCAAGTTGACGTTTCCATGCAGCGCCTACATCAGGCGAGGCATCATCCCAAACTACTCAACACTTCATCATCATAAATTTCAACCTGAATCCTAGTACGTAACAATTAGATGGAAGACATATGGTGAGACATCATCACAACCAACTCAGCACTCTTCCATCCTCATCGTAATTGATAGCAACTTGCAACCTGGATCCTGGTGCGTGACAACTAGATGGAAGACATCGCGCCGACATCAACTGTTCCCAGTTGACCTCATCTATTTAGCATAGATGTTAGGTTGTTAGATGGTCACAGGTAGATCGAGTAGATTACGTGGATCGTGGAATGAAAATAAGCTATTTAAAAAGTTCATTATGAAAATAAATCCACAAGTATAGATATTTTTAGCATTCTTTCAATTTCTTACCTAGAGATAAACTAGCCAATAGGCTAAAAATCTCTACAATAAAGAATTTAAAAAAAAAATCTTGCCTGCTTCGTCCTACTGATTTCAATTCCAAGGTTCAATTGAGTCGATGTGTAGAGTCAATTGTTTGAAAGAATTTACACTATTTCAGCAATATGTTAGCAGTATGTTTTGGTGGTGCTGGCACGATTCAATGTTTGGTTGTAAATCAAAACCGAAAGTTGTATCCAGTTGAGTTAGAGTCAAGTAGAGTAAAAGCCCTCTAAAATACTAGCAGTGACAAATTCTTCGGAAGGACAGTGAAGTAGTGCCTATCGTGATAATTTATCAAAACTGAAGAATGGGTAGAACCCCAACGAAGAGGGAAATTGTTCAGACATAAAAAAACAAAGAAACGATAGTTAATCAAGAAGCATCAGTGAGCAAAGGAAGCAGGAAGAAGACGAAGTTCAAGAAGGTTCATGCTGACGAAGTACACTGAAGTATTTTTACACGTTTTTTTACGCGGTTTTTTTACACGGTTTTTCGCGATTAACACAGTACGTTTTTAACAATTTACCGACAACGATACAACCTATAGACTTGATTCCAATCACACTATCCGTTTTAAGCTATAGGTAATCGAATGGCCTACTTAAAAAAAACCACAATTTTTGGTGTAAATACATACATTTTTAAAATATGTCTATATGGACCATAGCATGCTATAATTACAAATGGCATCAAAATCCGATTTTTTAAAAACATTTAAGCATGCGAAAAATCAAAATCTCGGAACAACGTTTGAACCCAACCTGGTCTATACAAGGTGTGGAGATCTAGCCCTCTCGTATGTGTTGGTAGAGGGAAAAATGTATATATTGCAGAGAGGCTGGTCACGACGTTAGTAAATTTGCGAAATATGAAATTCAGCAAATCCTTGCTAAGTTTGCATGATGATAGCGCTTGTATTTTTATGATATCTGCTTTCTTGAAAATGGACAAAAACTCACCGGCAGGTGGTTTTGTTGTGGTATACATTTTGATAATATAATAATCAATAAATTATCTCAACATTCAGCGGAAGAACGATCATAAATTTTGGTTTCATACAGAAATTCTATAATTCATAATAAATTTCCTATGCAAACGCTGATTGAAAAAAAATGCTATGACGTGACTATGAGCGTGTTTGAGCGTACGAAAGAAGCGAATCGTGCGAAGCCGAATGGAAGCCGAGTGAAAAACGAACTACACTGTGAATTTTACATAAAGCCAATTCCACAAATTGTATAGATCAGGTTGGTTTGGACCTGGCAGCGTTAAATGCCAACCAAGGAGACTGGTGGAAGCGACAACTACACCATAAAGTAACTCCGTTCCACTTTTTTCCTATTTTTCAAAGGCGTAAAACTGCCCAGTGACTAGTGTAGGGAAAATAACAAGATCAAAACTCACCAATGAGTATAATCTTATTTGATTATCGTGAACAAAAATCAAGAAGCAAACAACCGCGGATGATATTACAAGCTGTATCACAGAAACTCTGATATCATACTGATAAAATTCATCAGCTACAATTCTCACCAAACTGGGGTGAGAGTTTGAGAATCAAAATTTTTGCTATACACCCGAACACGAACCGAAGCTTCCATCACTGCTGGCAGTCGTAGCTTCGTGTCTGCCATTTGCGACGAGTAGCGAGAGCAGGCGTTGAAACAGTTGACGTTTTTTACTACACTCGATTCGTTGTCGTGCGCGACAGTCTGTTTGTATTCGAACACTCATGCTCTACCGTCGTCTCTCTCACACAACACGAGCGGTAGAATAACATTCGAGCTAAAATAAAATTATCAAAATAGCTATCATATGACATGTGTGATTTCTTTGTAATTCCTCAATTTGGTGTAAATCAAACCATTTCTGATCAGAAATATTATTACTAGGACATCATTGCTTGCTATTTTCAGAATTCACACAAGCACACCATCAGCAGGTCTTATTTTGAGAAAAACTAAAATACATACATTCGTGACAGTATGACAGAGCCTGTCATACGACATTTTAGTTTGGTACTGTACTATGATAGCTTGTTTTGCAAGTGTCGGAGGCAAAGGCAGTCAATTATCACAGAAAATGTGTCGACTACCGTGACCGCTTACAAGACTGAGCGAGAGATAGCCAACTATGCTTTCTCTTTCTTAGAAAACGATGTGCAACGGAGTCATTTTGTGTTGAGTCAACTCGTAGCTATAATTTTACATGTTCTGAATAGTCTCGCAATATCAAAAGAGCCGATCGCAAATCACAATATGGTGGATTTGACGCTTTTCACTGTGAAATCGTTCACCGACGTCAGTGATGAAGCTGATTTACAAATCTGTCGGTAAAAATGTTTACCGTTTTCGCTTCATTGAAATAAAATTCCCGAAATTTGATCATTTTATTTACTGTTCTCCGTATTAAAGCGAGGAAATACCGAACTCAGGATCTCTGATTAAGGATGCTGATAAAATTAAGGTTATCAAAAGCTGGTATTTATCACGGAATGAGAAGAAACTTAAAGCGTTCCTTGAAATACTCGGATACTATCGGCGCAATTTTACGAAAATTACTATGCCGCTTGCAGTCAATTACCAAACATAGGTATTGTATTAACAATATGGTCCACTCTTTCGTTTTCTCAGAGACACGACTTTCAGACAATACTGGTACCCTTACGTCAAGAAAAGCAGCAAATGTATCTCAAAAATTTTACGCAAATGCATCCAAAACTTCATCGAAGGAGTGTCACCAAACTTGTTTTAAAAATTATTATCGTATTCCAATGGGTGTCTACACATTTTGCCAACATGCCAAACTTTGTTCCCCTATTGTAATAAAAGAAATAAAAATTTAATTTTTCTTGTGTGTCACCATAATAATCGAACTGAGCCCAATTTTCTACAAATTTCATTTGCTATTTACTCCATAATTTCCATCCCTGATGGCTGATACAAATATTATTTTTATTTTATGTCCTACATCACTGAAATAGGTCGATAATAAATTAATAAATTAGTTAATTATAAAAGCAATTGTGCAGTGTTACGATAGAGCGCAGAGTAAATGGCGGGTTTAAATATTGCTGATTTCATGCACCACGGTTCTTCAACGTTAGTAAACAAAGCCCTTGAGTACTCAATTTTGGCATCGTGTATAATAATATGATACTGAACCTAAAATGGTCAAACGATAGCAATTTTCGATTATAAAATCCAATAGACCTAAAACCGGTAAATCGAGCGCAGTCTATAATTTCATGGAAATATATTGCAAGTCTAAACGAAGTGTAAAAGAAAAGCCCACTCTCACATATCAATAACATGAAACACTGTCATACTAGTTAAAATACGCAATTCTGCACGAATCCAAGTTCCAGTGATTAACCTATCTACTGATCAATGTTAGACATTAAATGCGATGATACCGACGGAAATGCTACTAGTGTAATGAAGAGTCCATTCCTAAAATATATATTACATAATCACACCTTTTCATATCACTTAAAAATCTATTCATTTTCCCACTCAGTATTACTTAAAAACCGTTCTTCTCTTTAGGTATTATGCATGAGCTGCAGTGAAACTAAGCTCTTACTGTTCTACTAAGTGCTGTCGATGAAATCATTGCTTATAAATTGCGTATAGTAGTTTCATCCCCTAACGATGAAGATGTCCTCTTTTCGGCTTGACGGTTAACAGTATCGTTATTTGTTTGACTAGGTCCATTTCATTCGGTAGTAAGTTAAATGTAAAACATAAAACAGAGATCATACCTGCATTGCAATTCTGCAGATGTCAGCTGAAAGAGTACCTACAACTGATGTCAAAATTTCGATGACTACGAAAATCTGTGTGATGCCGCATACAATAGCAACGAAGGTCTCTGGCATCTTTATGGATCAGTTGCGATTGAAGTTAGGAATGGCGAGAATCGTAGTTCTTCACTTTGTCCGGTACGGCTGCTTTTTCGACGGGCACCAACTGGTATAGTTCGCCTAGTGTTTTCACGTACACTAGCTTGCGCCAAAATTTGGAACTGTAATTAGAAAAAGCAAATTTGGTTGTAAGCTTGATTATAGCTCTTGTTCTTTCTCTTATTTTACAAGAACTTTACTACTCAAACTGTCGAGTTAGAGCGAATCAAGGACCTATCGATTGGGAATGTTTTATACAGGTGTACACTTAAATTTTTCACCAAAAAGACACCACCGAGCAGCTCGGCATTTTATTTTGTGAAAAACTTGGAGGGCAAATTCCATGCAGCACCATATTGAACACTGTGGTGAAATATTTCAGAACTTTGCCCAAATGACGTATATCATGCATTGTATGAAACTGAAACTGTAATCATGATTTTATTATTTCATGCTTGAAGTTTACAATTTACATAGTTGGAAATGTTAAAGTCTGATATTTGACGTTAAGCATGGACATTTTATACGATAGATGATGAGATGAAAGTAGAGAGTTGATAGTTCCGCCATAGTACAGCAGTGTGAAAATTGTATATAGAAAGTAGAAAGCGAATAAAGGACAATTTTGAGGAAGGTACGATTCGGGTTGATCATCCCCTTTAACAAAATCCCCCATTGAGGAGAAATGGTGAGTAGCAGCACCTCCCCTACCTCTTCATGAAAACGTTAAGTTGTCGATGACAGGAGCACATACAGTGGTAGAAGCAACAATAACTGCAATTTCCAAACCTAGATGTCTAGATGTCTACTTCAGACTTGAGGTGACTTGAGTGTGAAACAATCGATAGAACTGTTTCCGCACATCGGAGATACATGAACAAATAAGTGATCCTCCCCCTCACCATCCCTCCTCAGCGGGGGAGTTTGGTTAAGGGGATGATCAACCCGATTCGTACCTTCCTCAAAATTGTCCGTTGCTCGCTTTCCTCTCTACAATACTACCCGAATAGAAATTGTAATGTAGGAAACATCAGCAGACATCTTCAATACATTAAATTTTAACGTGTATTGCTGTACCCTTAATGTATTCAGGCTTCAGTGTGACGTCCTAGTACATAAAAATACATTAGCCTCAAACGTTACATCAGAATCAAACGTCTTGACGATGTAAAATTTGACATCAGAATACATCCAATGACAACAGAACCAAACGTTACATTAGAATCAAACTTCATCACGATGTAATTTGTTGCATGGATAAAACATCAGAATACATCCAATGACAACAGAACCTAACGTTACATTAGAATCAAACTTCATCACGATGTAATTTGTAATTTTTGACGTCAGACCGACATTAGAATGGCAAAATTTTGTTCCGAAATTTCTGATGTATACACCATGTTACGTTGCTTAAATACAACTAAATCATAATGTTTTCTAATGTTTGACATCAGGCATACATTTGATTTCGATGCTGATGTAGACATCAAAATCAAACGTTGGGCTAATGTAAATTTCTATTCGGGTACAATACAATTTTCACACTGCCTTACTATAACGGAACTATCAACTCTATACTTCCATCTCATCATCTATCGTATAAAATGGCCACTTTAAGTCTGATATTTGACGTTAAGCATCTCCAACTATGTAAATCAGGAGTATTTTATATTCCTCTGAGCTCTGAGCACGAGCTACATTGCAAAGGCTGTTTGTCATGAAAAAAAGGAAGAAGATTATATCATTTTTGCTTTCTATTCCGCTTGTCATTTTGTGATTAGGCGATATTTTTTATTCCTTGATCACGCCTAAATGTATACATCTCCTAGATGAACATCGATTATCAACCAATGATTTACGTGTATTTTGAGAAATTATACCGATTGGATATCCGTAAAACTACGCAAAAAACAATTTTAATTGCTATTTAAACTAACTTTTGATTATTTACGTGCCACATACATTTTTGACATGCTAAATCATGCTCGAATATGACCAATTTCCAATACATTTTTTGAATTGAATTTTTTTTTTCGAAGGATGAAATCACATTTATATTTACTTCTCCAGCATACATGATGCAATTGGCTCATATTGTAGCATCATAATGTGTCCTCCAAATATACATGATTTAGAATATCTTTGAATCTTAAAATTGGGAGGATCCACCAGTGTATATATTAGGCTGGTTCAAAGTATCGATTTTGCTCCACCAATCTCATTCTCATCTAAATCAGATCCTGAAAATTTTCCCAAAATTTGAGCTCATTTGGTTGCAATCTCATACTGCACTAGCTCTTTGAAGTTTATATGGGAAAAGTGAACTTATTGTTCATACGATCAGAATAGATAATGATTACCATGTTTCAACTAGTAGTCTTTTGCAGTCATATGAATCGTGAGGTAGGAACTAGTGAGGACTAAAGGTAGGTATCACGCATATTCCAGGTTGTTGACCTATTATTTTGCAGCCCATACTTTGAGGGGTGCACGACGTTAGGCATACGGTCGTTAGGCATACGGACGTTAGGCATACGGACGTTAGGCATAATGTACGATAGGCATAATGGACGTTGGGCATAAAGGACGTTAGGCATAATGGACGTTAGGCATAATCTACCGGATGAATTCCAGAAGGATGATAATGGAGACCGTCTATTGATTGCTGACTTCGGTGACAATAATGAAAGAGCCTTAATTTTTGGAACTCATGAAAACTTGCGACGTCTTGGACAGGCAAAGTATTGGGTTACCGATGGTACGTTTGCCACAGTTCCTTGTTTGTTTCGGCAACTCGTCACTGTTCATGGAAGTATCGCTCCCTCACATCAGCAGACGGTTCCGCTAGTTTTCATTCTTATGACAACAAAATCAGAATCGTTGTATCGAAAAGTATGGCAGGAAATCCTGGAAGCAGCAGGTATGTTTTTTTGTTATTGAATGAAAAACCACAGAATTAACCATTCTTGATTTCATGAGCTGTTCTTTGGCATCATATTTTATTCAACCTTGGCTGTTTTTTTGTTATTGAATGAAAAATCACAGAATTCACCATTCTTTATTTCATGAGCTGTTCTTTGAGGAAAACCTTTTCGTCTTTGACTTTTGCAATATGTGTGTTAGAATATATTACATTAAATGTGTGATTTTTTTTATTTCTAGATGCGATTGATTTCAAGATATAGTTCAAAACTAAGCTGAGTTTTCATTGTAAGATTACTTAACCACTATCGCTACTTATCATGGATCTAAGTAAATATGTAGATACGTCACTTATTATATGATAAATAATGGATTCCAAACTGTGCTTATTAAATAAACTATGTTTGTTTAACTTGTATCATTTTTTATTCAACGCTAAGCCTAATTTAAGCATTGTTTACAGGTTTACAGGTTAAGCAGGTTTCTAGAGTTGCACAACAGCAAGGTATTTTATGCCCAACGTCCATTATGCCTAACGTCCATTATGCCTAATGACTTTATGCCTAACGACTTTATGCCTAACGTCCATTATGCCTAACGTCCGTATGCCTAACGTCCGTATGCCTAACGTATTTATGCCTAATGGGGTACACTCATACTTTGGGTATGTACACGCAGAAAAATGGATTTTTGTTTCAGGGCCTAATGTATTTTGTTATTGATTCAAACATATTGTATCACTATTTCAACAAAACATGTTTTTGAATCAAAAAAATGGTTTTTAGAATCAACAAACAGATTATTGACTCTACAACCGGTTTCTTGATTCAAAAATATTTTTCTTTGAATTAACCGAATAATATATTTGAAACAATGTCTAAAATATATTAGGCCCTGAGTCAAAAATATATCCATTTGAACTTAAAAACCATTTCTCTGCGTGTAATCATGAATTCCAATAGGATTGCATGGGGAGTGAATTTTAAGAATAATTCCAAAGATCTGGACCTGAAGAAATTCAAGTTTTGAGGATAATTCTAAGTAGATAGTGAGAAAACCTTCAAGTGAAAGTAGAACTAAAGGTATTTAAAAAAGGAACAATGGGGATTTCAAGAAGAGTTCTAGTGTAGTGGTAAGTGTGATTATCTTTCACCTCAGAAGGCCTGGGTTCAATCCCAGTCGGCGCCGCCGAGGTGTTCTGAGGCATAACATCTCTAATCACGCCTTCCTTCGAAAGGGAAGTAAAGCTGTTGGTCGCCGGTTCATGAGTTGTTGGGTCTATAGGTAGGGTCCAGGTGTAGGAGCTGCCTACCTGGCGTCGGTAACCCAGTATACAAATTCATAAACCACAAACAACGTAAATCGTATTCCCAGGCACGTAAATCGTTATTCCCAGGCATCGTTCACCCATTTATCGTTTATTTCAAATATTACTAATTTCGCGAATCTCCTATCACAGTCGCTGGCGGATCATTTTGTCGTTTGTACATTCTCATGAACTTGTATGCAACATTGTTTGCGTCATAGCTAGCAAGCTTATTTGTCGCGAATATATAGATATTGTTAGTGAGATTTGTGATGATAGTTTAAAGATCCAGATTGATTAGGAAATCATTGTTGGTATTAAGACCAGCGGTCAATAACGTAGATGTACCAGTCATGGCTATACGTTCCTGTTATGGTGTGGTCCCATTATGGCATATGAGGTTTTCATCGTTCTGACCCACGGCTTTATTTAATATCTTAAATGTTTAAAATTTCGTCCGTAACAAATATTATAAATTTCAATGATGGATGATTATTCGAGGGGTACCCTGTCGATTTTTTCTTAAGGATTTTTAATGAAATAGGATTAATAAAGCCTTCAATTTAATTGTCTAAGGGATGATTAAAAAGGTCCTTCCTTCGTTAACGAATGATATAAGGACTCCTCGATAATGGGCGTTTAACTATATATTGATTGCTAAGGGATGCCTTATATACAGCAACATAATAGTATAATATAATCAGTATCGATCAAGATTTCCCAACTCACCTAATGAAAGGCCGAGCCATCCAAACGACTGATTTCAGCCAAAATGTCGGATGCACCATGTAAAGATTTTTCAAGCTCTTCCGCAACCGTCTATCAAGCAGCTGATAACACCTAGAAGATGTAAAAAGAAAACATACAAAATTAAGAAAACCATACTAATGTACTCTAATTAAATCACTTACTTCTTAAGCCACGGAAATGGGGGCACATTGCTTCTGCTGGAACCTCCGTGCAAGTAGACAAGTACATAGTCCTCTGTTACTAACTGCTCCAGAGTTTTTACCACATATAAAAACAAATTATTCATTACATAATGGTAATCCGCCCGAGAACGATCAGGCAAATGGCACGCACTGAACACCACTATAGCATTGTGCCCACCGGATTGCAGATAACCTCCGTGGGATAGCACCCGTTTATATGGTTCAATCACCTTCATATCTATTTCACGTGTTTTTCCATCTGGCAGTGTAATTTTCTGCCAATTTCTAATATCACGGGCCTCGTCACGAGCTGAATACTGTGGTAATGGTGCATTACTTCCACTATGACTCTTAGGCGTTCCGGGTACTTCCAAAAAATCCTCATCGATGTCCACATTGAAGCCATTATCATCCAAAATCGACGAAGATGGACTCAACGACACTAGATTTTGTTGTAAATCGTCAACACTATGATTGGAGATCGTTTCTTCCAATGAACTTATGTCATCCACCAGCAAATCGGTAGACAAGGGAACCTTCCTTCGCTGGTGCAGCTTTGGTGAGATTGAATTGTGTTGGAACGATTGCTGCAGCTGAGAACTCGACTGTGATTGCACTAAGGCTACCGATTGGAAGGTTGGCGTAACCGACGCTTGAAACTGCGACAAATCCTGCTCTGATCCACTGCTCAAAAAATCCTATAAGTGATAAGCAAGAAAATATATATTACTTAACTGCCACGTTGTATCCCAAATTGTTCGGACAGTTTCAATAAATCTCTAACATTATGACATGGAAAATCTAGCTGAGCTAACTCATTTTTTTTATATGTGAACTCAGCAACAACTCCAGATAATCTGTAGCAGTTGTATACGGAAACGAATACCATGGTAGAACGTACCATATCAGAGGGTTAAATTATACACAATGTACCTACGTGTTTCAACTGAAAATAAGGCATGCTAGGCAATAATTGCAATCATTTTGACGTAGGACTACGTATTTGATTTCTATATGGGGGTACACTTTGTGAAAACCGAAAATGGAACATGTAACAAATTAAGAAAGATTTTGAACGGTTATAACTCAGCTTCCCCTGGTCCAATTTCAATAATTTTATCACCAATCGATCAGAAATATGGCTACGCATCGATAACAATGCTTCCAAATGTTGATTTTTAACAAAAAAACTATTGAAAAACTGGGAAATGTCCAGCATTGTCCAAAAGCGTCGAATTAACTAACAAATCCACCAATTACCTACATGCATATGCTGCTTCCCCAGCACAGTCGTCAGAGAGTAGTAAGTGGACGAAACAAGTCGAAGTGGCATTCCCCTCCGATCTTCGGGCGCGTGCGAATAGGGAGCATGGAATTGCGTAATATTTTGCACACTCATCGCCATACTCAGAACCACACGCTCCCAACGACCACACCACTGTGTGGTGGTGTTCGGTCGTCGAAATTAGTAGCAGCAGTAGCAGCAGTAGCAGTCCTTTCGGCGTGTGGCGTTGAAAATTGTTCTCCAGTAACAACGAAAGGCAACGAGCTGCAGAGTCCACATAAGCAACCATCAAAGGAGGAAGAAGCTGCACCGCTATGCTATGGATCGGAATCAGTAGCTCTTTGTGAGTCGCTGTCGTCATCTATGCCAAGCGTGTCACCCTCGCTCCAAACGACATACAGCTCGACAGCCTCATCCGTATTGAGCACCCAGCTCAGAATTACTCAACCATCACTACAAAACGGTCCTTTTCAGGGCCACCAAAAAATTGTTATAGAGTATTATTTGGACATTGGTCAAGGACATCAGTTCCCGCAAGCAGCTAGCTATCAAGGCTCAACCTGTCTATAGAAGGTATGGAATTGTAGGCCTGAATATATTGGTGCAATTAGTTTTTCCTCGGCTCATTCCGCACGATTCTTTTCTTTCGTTGAATCAATCACCCTTATAGTGATGTCGAAAAGAGTGTTTCAATCGGCGATTACATATGAAATTTAATGTGGACTATAGAATTTTTTGTATGTTACCAAAATTTATGAATGGTTTGCCACTAAATGTTGAGATAATTTATTGATTATTGAATTATCACACTGTATACCATGGGAACAGAATTTGTGAGAAGTGGGAATAATTTGCTTTGGGTGTATATTCAGTCCACACACACTAATCCAGCATTTAGTTGTTCGGTATTTTTTTGTACTGGGCTTACACGGTAAAATGAAATATTTACTGAAAATTCAGTTTAAATCTGGTGAATAACCGACGTTCTGTAAAACATAAACTGAACTTCGGTATCGTTTGATGCAAAATACTGTACACAGAATATTTATTTACTGAGAAAGTCGGTAATTTCCAAATATTCGAGATTTCACTAAAAGTCAGTAAAAATAATTACTGTGCACAAAGTAGTCTTTATTTTTTACCGACTGGTCAGCAAAATAGCCACCTTGTTTTACCGACCACGAATTGTAAAACTCTAACCTGTCAATTTTATTCCCGCCGTAATTTTAGCTTCAGTAAAATTCGGGAGCAAGTGTTTAAGCGCGCAGTTCTGATAAAATTTGAATTACATCATGAATTATATCATGACGGAACTGAGTAAGCTTTGGTGCAACAAAGTGCTAGTGGCTTATCCGAATACGTTGAAGTATGTTACTAACGGTAATTTAAGTTTTTAAATGTAGAATCAATGCAATTGATAACTAATGCCTATTTTCACAGACACCATACGGGCATTGGGAATCATCCGATTGAAGAATCCAAGCAGAGGAAAGAAGCGAAGCAAAGATGACGACAAGAGCTCATCCAACGATAATCCATTGGCTGGAATCGTTGAATGGATTCAAGTACGTATAGTGCATGATTTAGCTATGGCTTGTGACCAAATTATTTTCAATTCATTTAGATGGATGACCCTATACCAACATTGAACCATGAAACTCCTACACTTTACGTCCGTGGAAAATTCCCTGAAGACAACACCGATGGAATTATCTCCTGGAAGAACGTCACTATTCCTTTGAAAAGGAATTTCTTGGAATGTTTTCATATGCTGTGCATGTCGTTGACTGTCTTCAACGTAGATTGTCGATCAAGCGACAAGCAATTTTTTGTATTCATTAAGTCAGTTTTTATGGGGGTGGGAAACATAACAACTACGGGCGAAAAGTTTCTCCGTAGTTTGGAATGATTTTATGAGAAAAATAAAATGCAATTAACATTGTAATAAATGATTTTCCTCCTGGCCATCTTATTATTATTGAAATTAATTAGTTTCATTTCTCCTGACAAAACTTTTAATGTAACTGGGTAACACGGTACAATAATGAACCAAATAACTGTATTGTCAGTTAAATTGCAGCAAAATAAACAAAAAAAAAATACTGGGTTTTCCAGTATACGCAACTCGAACCAATTACTGAATGAACAGTTATTTTTGACAGATTGACTTTACGGACAGTTCGGTAATGCAAATTATGTCTGTGATGATTACTGGGCGATCCGCAATTCAAAAACCCAGTAAAATTTTACTGACTCCAGTAATCTAAAGTTAGTGTGCAGAAAGCCAATAAAATCAAATTTGTGAGAAAATTAGCTCTCACGAGTTCAATCTCCATGTCCTCCTTTTTCAATATTTTTTCTACATCCTCCTTTTGCCCGAAAATGTCCTCCTTTTTAAACCTTGCAATTTTTCCAGTAACATATTCATAAAATTGTTTTCAAAGAGCGTTGTTTGCAGAGCTTATTTGATGGTGGTACTAGGAGTATACTACAGCTGTCAACCCCCCTACATTTATAGGCTGTGATTCATTTGGTGAATTTTAACTTATATTTGACAGATGGAAAATTTACAAATAAACCTGCTATTCTACCAGACTTATTTCAGACAAACCAGGAATCAATTTCGACAAAAAAAATCTCGAAAATCAGACAACAACAGAGGGATTTTCGAACATTATAATTTATTTCACTAAAATTTGATATTTCGAAAATAAATTATAATGTTCAAAAATCTCTCTGTTGTTGAAGGTGTTTGTCAAAATTGCTTCCTGGCTTGCCAGAAAAAAGTTTGGTGCAATAGCAGGTTTATTTGAAAATTTACTATCTGTCAAATTTAAGTTAAAATTCACCAAATGGAACACCGCCACACAGATTGAATGTGATTGACGGCACCATGTATTCGATTTTGACGTTCTGGTTCTATGGGATTTTAGGTATTTTGTTTAGTCCACTGCCATACTGAGACCGAAGAGGCATACTGAAATCGAATGTAAGGAATAATATCAATAATAGGAATTCTTTCGTATAGAACGCTAATCACGCCTTTTCGCTCCCACTATGGCAGCGGCCTTAGAGTCCTATGCTGAATCAATGGTAAAATTAACGTGTTGCTTAGATGTTCCATGTTGGTTTCTATCAGTGATGACATGTATTATGATTTTTATAAATGATAAAAGTTGGTATGGTTTTAAGGCTGTAAAGTAGTAGTTTTCATGCAAATCAGCTAGACTAGATCATTTCCAAGTATCAAAAATGAATTATGAAGGCTAGCTTGATGCATTTTTCATAAGTATAACGAGAAGATAAATTGAATTGGAAATCTCAATTGAACCTTTGCAAATCATGAATTCTCGCGCAACACGAGAAAAAGGCCTATCATTGTTGATCGATGCTCTTCATAGATTTTCTCTTTCTTCCTTTTTTTTCTTTACCCGACTGCAAATGAATTTCCCATTCAGTGTATTGTTTCAGGCGCAGGTTAACATCATTTTCTGTCGAACTGTGCGGCGAGCTTAGCGAGAAATTCGTTTATGTTGCCTTGATAAACCAAAGAGAAAGTCGATAAAGAGAATCGACTAGCGAGGATAGGCCCTTTTCAAATGTTACGCGAGAATTTTGTGATAGCGCACATAAACGTTTGATAAAAACTCATTGTCCTCATTTAATGTTAAGAAAAGGAATCATTGTCCTCCTTAGTCTCCAAACCTTAAATGAAATGTCCTCCACACTTAGAAAAAATCATGTAAATTTAGGTGCTCTGAGACTGACATATACGAGCGTCAATTTTGACATAAAAATGAGTCATAACAGACGCGCAATTCATTTCAATCAAACGTACTTTTCGTCGAGTAACGAACTTTTCAGTCTCGGAGCACTTAATTTTACATGAAATAATTGTTTACGTCTGATCCTTTATGTCAAAGATGGATTCCGTCACGTGTAAAATTAGTTATTTCTAAGTGTGTCCTTTTCAAGTTTTTGATATGGTAACCCTTCTACTTTTTACCATGCCTTAATCGACTTCATTTTGTAGTACTTTTTACAAACTTATTTGCGCATAGCAAAAAACTGTAGTAGAAATTGAAAAATCCAAGTATATGCACGCCACCGAGGAGCTATACTCGTAGCGGTCATCAGATCATCTGTCAAATTGCATGTATTTTCAAGTTTGTGATAAGAAAACTATTTTTTACGTTTTATTGTAATTGCTTTATTCAATTGCAGATAGCAAATATGAACAGAAAACTAGCATCGGAAAGAATGACAAGTAAATCCTAATTTTTAAATGTAAACATATTGAGATTTCTTTGCAATCTCAAATAATGTTAACAATGTTTTTACAGGATTAAAACTGAGAATGCAATCCTATGGGATCATACCATCAGAGATTGAATTAAATCAAATTAATTTTCA